GTTGCATGCAATGGTAGACATCGTTGCAAGTCAGATAATTAGCACAGCATAAATCAAGCGCTATAATTTTAGAGAAAATTTGGGATTATTTACGTCTAATTTGCTCATCGTTGGTTTCAATGATTTTATCAAACTACTTTACGTGACTAACCACTTGTTTTAATCACCGCCCGATCATGGAACTTGATTTCACCCTACGGTTTTTCAAGCACAGCTCAAAAACGAGCGCTCGCAGCAACACCAAATTTCCAGTATCTTTTACCTATCAATTTGGCATTCTTTGTGCGCATTTAAGGTTTTCTGCCAAGGTCAGCGACCTAGGTCAGGTGAAAGAGGCTAGCTCCGCAACAACTCGGATAACGGTGAACTTTTTTGTGCGTGGTTTGTCATTGCTCAAGGTTTTATTTCGATCAATCAAGGCATTCAAGGCGCAAGGCTCAAACCTACAGTTTGTTACATCATATATTTCAAAAGAGGTGAGGTCATTGAGAAGAAATAAGATGCATGTTTGCTGTTTTTCGTAAATACAGCAAATTTGTGAGCATTTTTGTGCAGTTTTGATGTCTACAATTGAGGCCACTTTCTTGCATGGCGAGAGCACTTACCAAGAGTACTTACTCACGTACACAGCCATCATATGACCAAAAGTACATGACCTTGGCCCAGGTCATGACCTACCGCTATCGGTGCTTTCTGTAGAACACCTGCTGAACTCAAATAGGTAGCTTGTTTAAGTAATTTGGGGCCCAGAGTTCAAAAATTGCGCTGAAAACATCTCGTGATGACGTTCTAATGCACAATCAGGTCACAATAGGTCACGTGAGGACACGCAAGATCATGCGGAGTGATCAAAGGCCAATGACCTCTGTTGTTAGTTACAGAGAGGCTAGATGAGTGCAACGCCTGTAACCACCTCTACACGTGTTTGTGAATCTGGTGGCGCATGATCGACCAGCGAAAAATAACGCAGCCCACCCCAGTGGCGCCGCCCCTATAAGCCCTATAAGTGACTGTTGCTGTGCTGACAAATACAACGAAATTTTAAACTATCCGTACGAATAGTCTGGAACAGCTTAGCATGCCATTAACACGAATGAAACGCCTTAAAATCATCACACCGTTTATTAGTTCAAAACGGAAACCTCTCTGAAAACATCCTGCCACAAATGAGCTGCTAATTTCAAACCGAGATTACCCAGGAAAGTTTAAGCGCACAAGACTGCGGTGCTTTAGCGGGGTCAAAGGTCAAGGGATGACTTCCACTCCCAGGCGTGCAGTTTCGCAAAATCAGTGTGTGTGTGGGGGGGGGGGAGGGACTGAGCGGTAAAAAATGACGCAAACTACTTTCGAAATAAGCCAACAAACTGGTTTGGCTTCTCCGTGAATTTAACTCCCTTTCTTCTCAAAGTCGGAGTGCGGGAGCGGGGAGGGGGGGGGGGGTTAGGGCTGGAACCCAACTGGGGGATGGTCCCTCACCTGAACAGGAAACCTTATCCCTGCCCTCCCCTCTTGTGTAGACGTCCCCCTGTGCTGTTTTCCCTTTCTCTGGAAGACGAGTGAACCTGAGCGATATGCAGCTACGCAACGCTGGACCGAACTGACCTTAAACAAATCGACGTGCTCGTAAGATGCACACTGACATATAGCTGCCTGTGGCAGCTCGGCCCCAGCTCCATATCTGCTGCGCAGTAGTGCGGTCACAGCCCCATATCTGTTATATGGCAGTGAGGTCCCAGCCCCATACCCACTGTGTAGCGGTACGGTCCCATTCTCATATCTGCTGGGTGGCAGCTCGGCCCCAGCTCCATATCTGCTGTATGGCAGTACGGTCCCAGCCCCGTATCCGCTGTGTGGCAGCTCGGCCCCAGCTCCATATCTGCTGTGTGGCAGCTCGGCCCCAGCTCCACATCTGCTGTATGGCAGTACGGTTCCAGTCCCGTATCCGCTGTGTGGCAGCTCGGCCCCAGCTCCATATCTGCTGGGTGACAGCTCGGCCCCAGCTCCATATCTGCTGTATGGCAGTACGGTCCCAGTCCCGTATCCGCTGTGTGGCAGCTCGGCCCCAGCTCCATATCTGCTGTATGGCAGTGCGGTCCCAGTCCCGTATCCGTTGTGTAACGGTACGTTCCCAGTCCCATATCTGCTACATGGTAGTGCGGTCCCAGCCCCATATCTGTTGTATGGCAGTGCGGTCCCAGCCCCATACCCACTGCGTAGCAGTGCGGTCCCAGTCTCATATCCGCTGTGTGGCAGCACGATCCAAACTCTAAAACCTTCTCGGAACCTCCCGACCGCGGGTAGGCCGCGTCCATTGCGCCCGGCGCGATCGGCACGTTTGATCGTCGCCTCCCGTCGCGCATCAGTACCCCGATGACCCCGATGACCCCAGGCCGTTCCGAGAACGTCACTGTATGCGGCTCTGTGACCAGCTGAAGTTCTGGTCGTCGCTATGTAGGGCGCACAACTTTTGGCTCTGATCCAACTTGTGGCAGTCGGGACT